GTCGTCGTCGGTCGTCTCTCTCTCTCTCTCTCTCTCTCTCTCTCTCTCTCTCTCTCTCTCTCTCTCTGCTTTGTGCCACTTAGCGGTCGCTTCTCTTCTTTTATGCCCATTTCTATCAATATGGATTAATTTTAATTTTAGTTTAACTTACTTTTTATTTATTTCTTTTTAAGTTTTAAGAAAGAATAAACGATGAAAAGCAAATTAAATCGAGAATTAAAAGAATTAATTTACATTGATAGAAATGGACATTAATAATTGATTGACTATCGAATTATGTTTTAGTCCCGCGATGTCTCTTTAACATTTAATAATTACTATTTTTAAATGAGAAATATGTCTATAGATGTGCGACTATAGAGTAGAACTAGTTTAGGTATGTATCACGTAATAGTGCTTGGAGATTATTCCGCATTCTCATCTGCTTCGTCGATCGTTTCCGAAACATCGCCCGTTGGTTTCACGCTCGCAGATAAATCGTGGGTCACGCAAGCGATCCGGGCGGCAGCTTTAAATTTTATCGCCGCTCGGTGCTTCTCGGTCTTCTTCTTCCACTGTAACAGAAAATTGTCATGTCATCGTCAACCATCATTCTTGAGAAATAATCGGAAGGAGAAGATGAGACCTGTGTTCCCCATTTCCATCTTTTCCATTCCATTTTCCATTTCCGTTTCATTTTCATATTTTGATTTTCGCAGTTTTCGCGCATGCGCAGTTTATTTTCACGTCAGATGTATACACTACAAAGTTGGGTTCAGAAACATTGGCTGCGTCACCAACTATTAATAATATCTCGTCGGTGGCTGCGTTCAGCTTTGCAACTGTTGTAAGATTCTTCAATACGATTAGTTTATACATTTAGATTCATGTGGAACCAAGAATAGAAATCAATCATCAAAAATTTTTATAACAGTTGCAAAGCTGCTTTCTCTACTGAATGCAGCCATTGGCTACATTCGGCGGGCTCACAGTTGTACAACGGTTGAATAATTCGTCAATGTAGGCTGCGTTCGGATATTCATTGTCAGTACTGAAAATCTATAATATACGTTAAATTATATATTTTCAGTACTGGCAGTAAATATCGAAGCAGCCGTAAGTCCCGGTAAGTCTACAATAGATGATTTAAGCCTTAAGCCTTAAGCCTTAATAAGAAATTGACCAATCATAGTCGATTAGTCTCCTATTCTTTGATTATGATTCGTCTATTTCTTATGACTTAAGACTTAAATCACCTATTGTAAATTGGAACTACAATGGGAACTACAACTACTGGACTAATCAGTTTTCATATTTAAGATTGGTTTAAGATTTATATTTTAACCAATAAGATAACTATATTAGTTTGCTTAAGGCTGATATACTTCGTTACATATCAGAAAATAAGATGGTGATTGGTTACCGCGTTGTCGCGTTGCCACTTTGTCGCGTCCTGTGTGTAACCAGCCAAAGACGATTTTAAATATAATACTGGCTATAAAGTACCGCTTATTGAGCACATAGCGAGTTCTTGTATCAGATTGGTATATTCTTTTAGATTCTAAAAAAAATACCAATCAAGTGCTAAGTGCTTAGACTCGGTTGCACCAATGGCTGCGTTCAGCAGAGAAAGCAGATCAGTGAACGTTAATCTCTGAATTGATTCTTTATTATGATTGGTTTTTTTTACACTTAGATTCAACAAAGATCTAAAAGCAAGAACCAATCATATTGAAAAATCATCGAATACTCACTGATCTGCTTTTTCTGCTGAACACAGCCAATATTATTTGGGCTTTAAGCGAGACTTAATACATAAGTGTCGGTCCACAATAGGTGATTTAAGCTTTAAGAAGTAAGAAATTGACCAATTATAATCGAATATGAAAAGAATAATCGACTATGATTGGTCAATTTCTTACGACTTAAAGATTAAATACTTATTGTGGACCGACACTAATATACGTGACTCACATGACATGATATTATATATTAAATACTACTTAAAATTCAAAATAACGTTGGTGCAATCGAGCCTTAGTGAACGATTATGCTTCTGAATGCACCTTATGAACACTGGCTATAATAGCTTCCATATTACAATATACATATATTCTATGATCAAAACGCTTTCTCAGTGCTGCCAGTATTTACAGTGAATATCCGAGTAGAGTTTGTATTTCACACGAGGAGTATATAATGATGCACGAGAACACACGATATAGCGACAAATCTTGTGTCAGTATATTTGTTAGTTGATTATTTAAATAATTGATCGAATATATTATCATCACATTCTTGTCATCGAATCATCGCCCTTCCGAGGAAAGGAAATATTTATCTTAAAAAGGGGAGGCATTTCATCCCATGACAGTGCTTAATTTTCTTCCAACAAATATGGAACACGTGCCGCACATGTGGGAAGGATTAATAAAAAAAACGATGTAATACTCTGTTGTGATTTCTCTACAGAGAACTACACAGAAGACACGTTGGATAAGATTAGAATCGTGAAATTGAACATCGGATCGACCATCATTCTGAAGGGAGACACAAGATTACTCTGTCGGACATATCGGTAACGATTGGGGATCTAGTGGCGATCGGTATCGTGTAAGTTTCAATGTTTCTCAAATATATTTATTAGTCTTAATCTTTCGAATGTATATTTTTATCATAATAATTAAACCCAATCTAACCTAACCTAATGTGGGCACGTGTATCAACATGAACTTTTTCGCGCGCTTTGACCAAAATTTTAATATATATAATGTATATATTACGATAAAAAAAAATATATATATATATTGTGTTTAAAATGTAAATATGTGTTTACAGCAGAGAATTATTTTGTAATTAGTTTATACAAGGTGTTCCAAAATTCAGAATAATATAGTAAGACTGTTCTCGAAAAATTTAATAAAAGTTATTGTATTTGTAAATTTTTATTTCAAGCAGTAGTCTTTGAAATATAAAAGTTGTAAGTTGGCCAATTATATATTTTTTTATTACTTTTAGATGGACACTTATTCATAAATCGCGCGTGCAGTAGTGAACGCACACTTTAGATCATATGAACATGTGACTATCAATGTTATTACATAAATTACTGCGTGACTCAATAGCAGGATGCAAGGCAGATTTTTATTAGATTTTTTATTAGCTTTTATTAGCTTTTCTAATCTACATTTTCCTCACCTGTTCATCGCGAGATGGTACATTTGCGAGATATTCCCTCATTTCTGGCTTCTTAGGATCAGCTATCGCCAATACTGACACACAACCATCAACTGTCCCCAACACGATACTTTTGCCATCATGCGTACTATCGATAGCACTTAATTCAGCCTGCACTCTGTAATTTGCTATCATTTCGCAGTCCAAAGATCTGTGAAATAAATTATATTCATGTAAATATACATGTACATATATAGTCTGTTCCACAAGAACGAGATGTTTCTTCTAAAAAAAACACAGAATTGTTAAAAATTTGATTTGGATCTATTAATAAATTCAATAATTAAAATGTGTTTACTTAGTAAGGTGTCCAATCTCCTTTGTTATCGAATAAGGCCTGGCAGTGGGACATACTTTCCACGAGATTATCAGTCATTGTCTCAGAAAGAAATCTCCAGATTTCCCATATATGACGAACGAGCTGCTTTAAATTAAAAACCTTATTTTCCTTGAGTTTAATCTTCATGACTGCCCACACATCGATGGAATTGGCATCAGGCAACTGGGAAGGCCAATCCACTGTTGTGATGCCATTTTCATGTTTCCATTTCGTACACGCACGACTTTCGATTTTGGATCTTTTTTGTTTGCACTTCGATAACAAAGGAGATTGGATAACTTACCAAGTAAACGCATTTATTGAATTTATTAATAGATCCAAATCAAATTTTTAACAATTCTGTGTTTTTTTTAAAAGAAACAGTCCGTACGCTCTTATGGAACAGACTGCATGTATACAATAATATATCGAATTGATGCATAAAATGCGAATAAAATTTGGACGAAATTTCGAAATAATTTTTTACGGTTTTTATATTAATTATCTCATTAGTTTACGATTATTTTTGAATGCTTGAATGTACACTTACCTAAAAACTCTGATGGTTTTTCGACCGCTATGATAATACAATACGTATTCATCTGTACGATTAAACATTGATATAACAGTAAACACACCCTCGGCTACCTTAGATATATATGTCTTTACACTTGTACCTTTCTTTAATTCTATGAGTTCGAGGCCGCCTCTAAAAAACATATTTAATCGTTTTGCAATACATTTTTGAGATATATGATTAAAAATATGTTTGAACAATGCTGTCTCCTCACCTGCTAGGTGCATACAAAGTGTATTTACCATCCTTGCTGATGTTTCCACTCCATTTTGGAATTGTGCGTATAATCTTTTTTTATTAATGTCAAGAATTGTACCTTTATCAGAGCCAATAATTCCTATCCACTGCGGTTTATTGGGCATTGGTGTAATACATACGATATCCTGTTGACATACATTTTTTTAGCGCATCGCTTTATTTTATAATAAATATATATCGCAAACATGAGAATAGAATACCGATAATATACGGATAAGACAGAACCTTTGACATCTAATAATCTTTTTTATTCTTGAATTTATGTATATTTATATACATATATTTACAGAATGATAAAATATATTCTGTTACACGGCGAACATAAATATAGGAAATATTAATCTTTAAAACATAAATATAGGAAATATTAACAGAGCCAATCGGAATTTAAAGTCAGAATCCTTTACTATCTTAGTGACAGTTTACGATCGCGATGATTTCCTTCGACAACTATTTTCGAATTCTATCATCTAATTGCCTTTAGGATTCCATATTTTCTATATAACATAAATTCAGTTTTAGCGCTTTATTTTAAAAATTTAAATGTTTGTCATTAAAGTAAAACCTGAAACTGAATTTAAGTTATATATATTTACATTTATATTTATTCTAAATTTCTAAAATTTCTTTGTGTTCCAGAATATATTTGTTATTCTTTATACGTATATAAAATATTCAAAAATAAAAATTATTAGACGCCTTATCGAAATCTTGTTTTATGTAATATTGTCAGTATTCTATTCTCGTGCTGAACATATACTCGATTTATACATATTGATTGTTTATTTTGTTTAAATCTATAAACATTGTCTCTCTATGAAAACAATCAGTCTACTTATAAGCGAGCTTGTTACCTTGAATCCAGGTAATTTTATAGGTATTTTGCTGACCAATGCTCCAGTTTTCGCATTATAAATTATAACACAATCTCTGTTACCCTTGTCGGCCGCCGGTACAGCCAGAAAAGCATCGTCGGACGTTATTACAATTTGTCGGAAAGGTGTACCAGTATTACTTCTTACAGGATATTCCAAAGAGAATATTGTTTTACCGTCTAATATACACATAAGATACATATTCATTAATTTTCATTAAGATATGCTACAAATTATCAACATGCTACAAAATTTTCTCTACCAGGAATACTTCTCATGACAAGAGTCGCCGTAGTTCGCACGTTTTCCACTCCAGTGGGATTATTGGGTCTCGAAACGACTATGAACTTGGACGAATTCTCTATCAGCGTTAACTGTTTGACGTTCTTCTGCTCCTCCTTGAACAACACTTGCTCCGTAATTCTGTTCCAAACAAGAACGTTACCCGACTCCGTCGACACGATATATCTGGAAGAAAAAAAAAGATTGCTCCTGATTCTCCCAAGTTTGTTCCTTGATTGAACCTTGTGACACAACTTGACAGGAAAATTTAATTTCGTAGAATTAAATTGAACGGAATTTACCTACTGTCCTGCGTAATGCAAGCGTGTGTAACAATTGCTCCTAATGGACTATCGGCTAGCTTTGATATTAGTCGACCGGTCAGCAAATCCCAAACACCCACGCAATCTCTGGTGACCGTGACGGCCAAGTTACCCTCCTCAGCTAAGCTGTTTTTTGTAATGTACAGAATAAGTTATGCAATTCAAAAATACAATTTTTTTTTTAAGAATTACCTTATCATGTCTATCTGTAATTCGTGTCTGTCGATAACGTGCACTTGTTCGAAAATATTGTTAATGTTCCACACCTTGACACTTCTATCGATACTCGACGTTACAACGCTATTCCAATTTCCGATGGTCAACGCTTCCAGTTGAATAATTCTTGCAAAATGCGCGTCCAGTATTTTTACTAAATCAGACGTCTCGAGCGACCAAACGTATAAATTTTTCCTACGAGAGACAATTTTAATCGTGCAATTTATATTTTTTCATAACTTTATAAAAGATAATACAACGACAATTTATTCAGTGCAAACGTTATTCCTTGTTACCGGAGAAAACTTTTCCTCTACCAAAGTATAAAGTTACACCCCCCACCCCCCTCCCGCCACTCCAATTGTCAAATTTTTAACTTTGAATTTCTTTACAGCTTCAAATTAAAACTTTATTACATTGCAAAGTGAGTTTTTATCATTTATTTGCATTCTTAAAATAAAACATTTTATCTGTTTTTACTCTTCTCTTTTTTAATCATAACTCAAAAACTGTTTGCAGCTCAATATTTTTGCTTAGATAAAATTATAAGATAAGATTTTTTTATGTTGGATGAAGTCAACTGATGCGTGCAAATGACTATTATTAAATTTCGTAGAATAGAGATTTTCCTATCTTATTTCTTATCGCATTTACAAAGAGTCAAATTAAAAGTAACAGCGATAGTTCTCAAATAACGCTTACCTTACGCCAGCAACGGCGTAATTCTTAGTGCCGCTGACCATCACGGAGTTTGAACACATCATTCGCGTACTGATGTTCCTAACTCCGTTCGGTAACATTAAAACATGCGCATCGCTTTTACTCTCCAAAAACCATACGATGAATCCATTCCCGGTTGTCGCTAACAACATTTCCTCTTCCCTGTCCAATTTCAATTGCAATAGATACTCCACATCGTCGTTGTATGCCCGCGGCATGTCGAAAACTTTTTCCCAGTAGAACGAGGTCTCATCGCTTCTGTATTTCGTGATTCTGTAATCGTCCTTGTTCGTACACGCGTATAAAGTACTTTTATCTTTGGTCATGATCAGAGCACTAAACAAAATCATAATTATCTTATTATTATTCTTCCAAAATAACTATTTTCAAACTTAGAAAGGCAGTGGGACGTATAGTTTAGCAATTATAAATATGCACATGATTGATATAATTCACATTTGAGAAGCTAATTTATTAATACGCTTTTAATTGTAAATAAATTAAAATAAAAGAATGTCATGATTTATTGATTTAAGAAATAGAAATAAATCTACACCTCAAAGGATTAAAAACATTTCTATTTTCTTACCTATGAAATTGAAATGGATCCAGTGATATCTTTTTTCTATAAGTATGTAAAAGCATACGCGTATCATCAAGGCTTCCCGACCAGAATACAATTCTATAATGATCCAAATTCGTATATTCTACATCTAGAACAGAACAAAAAATACGAATTACATAATATATGTATGTATGTATGTATGTATGTATGTATGTATGTATATATGTATATATGT